GAAGAAGCAAAGAAAACACAGCATGTCAGGAAGACGAGCCGGTCGAATACATTACTGACAACCTCGTGCTCTTCCAGCGAACAACCAACCAAAACGGTCAGAGTTCAAGGCGTGAGCAGAGTTTTGATATATGCACACAGACTAGTTAGCTCGACACGGAAGAGCGAGTTCGAGACAACTTAAGAGTGTGCAAGGCAAACAAAGCACGCATCCGAAGTAAACTCAGCCAAAAGGGCTGAAGCATGTAGGGGTTCGAATTGAGCTGTTACTCTGTCTTGTCCCCCTGATGATCATTGGCGATGGGCTCCTCGTCCTCACCATCGTCATCTTCACTATTAATATCAAGAACCTTGTCACTGAAATTTTTGAGCACTCGAGCACTCAGTAGCTTCACAAACTTCCAAATGCCCATGAGAAATGTAATGGCTCCGACAAGAATGAGGAACCAACTCATGTTTTCGACTCGACCTCGGCCTGTGCCCTGACGTCGCCCTGTGCCCCCCAACACTCCGGTATTGCGGAGATTAAACCATTGCCATGGTGTCATGGCGAACATGGTCTTGAAGAAGCCCACCAGGCCAAGTGAGAAAAAGCCCTTCGCAAAGTGCTCGCCCCAAGTGACGGGCGGCTCCCAGGGCGGCTCATTCCGTGCTTCGATGTCGTTTATGACGCCGGCAACAGTGTCCGTGAGGGTGCCAAAAGGATCATACCACAAGTCGAAAAGAGGATCAGCAATGAATCCTAGAATGAAGATGCTCACAACCAGAATGAACAGTGTGAGGGCAATCTGGGCCACCCTGCTACTCAATATCGCGGCCCAGTGCAAACGGGACATGCGGTACGTAAATTTGCACGTGGGACATTGCCAGTAGTTGCGAGTGGCGGTTGGATTTGCCAACCGCCAAGCATTGAGACATCCTTCGTGAACATACTTCTGCGAGCCCTTGCACTTGCAAGGGGAAAGGAGTCTTCCTAGCTCGGGGTCGTCAGAGACATATGTCGGACGAGACGAAGTTGGCGAGATGCCAAATGTAGTCGTAGTATCCGTTGGAAACTTTGGCTGTTCCGTGTCTAGACATATCCGACATGAACGTGGGCCATATCTTCGCGCATTGGGGTTGTGGCGTGGTTGTTGAGAGGATTGGCTTTGAGAATCTGATTGTCCGGTCTGATTCGCGCTTTCAGCACCAGTATCGGTACCTGATGTCCATGCGGTAGCCCTATCTCGAAGCGAGGACCAGTCCCAAGTGGGTTGTTGGTCCATAATGGAAGAGGTTGGAAGCTCAACGTTGTCGAGAACACGCGTGTCTAGGCTTGCTTGGGATGGTAAAATCTGATGGACGGGTGGAAGCCGGCGGCTTCTGGGGAATCCTGAAGTAATGAAACCTCGCCTACATGGGCCCAGTAGATAGGCACTACATCGTATGCACGAAAGTGCCGGGGGAGATCGCCTACAGATAAGAGTACCTTGAGATGTAGAGGTTAGAAAAGGACACCGTGGGAGCCAAGTAATGTGTCCGAACCGGGCTAATCGGGTAATGGTGAGGAAGCTTCGAGTGGCCAAGGAAGTTGGGGTGGAAAGCTTGGTGAGATGTGGGACTGGCATGAAGGTGCGGGATCCGGATAATCTTTATGCCGCGCCGACCGACCGCCCTCTGCTCTGTGACGCGAAGCTCCAAGGGTGCCTGCCCAGTGAAGTGCGGCAGGTATTACTACAGCTCGAGCTGTTGGCGAAACTACACCTCAGAGACGGAAGCTAGCTCGACCATCTGCGAAACTGCCCAGCCCTCACAAGCAACCTCAACAAGAACGCTCGAATCACAGGGCCCAACATGGCGGACCGCTATTCTTTCTCCCTGACTACTTTCTCGCCCAGGTAGGCAGCTTGTTCCCTCGGATGTAGCTGAAGTTCAAATGCTAACGATATCACAGTGGTAAACTGGTGCAAATTGGTAGGGATTCCTCTCACTTCTCGGCGCTCAAGTCTAGCGGCTGCTTTTAAGGATCATTATTTTAACACGCTGCCTTCCAGAATATGCCTTGAATGCAGTCAATCAGGGTATCACAGCTCTGGGTATCAAAGGTAAGGCGGCCCATGCAGCCCCGCGATCTGCCGTCCAAGCTAACATCGTCAAGCTACCAACGGCATCGTGCTCGCCACAGAGAAGAAGTCATCCTCCCCTCTAGCCGACCAAAAGACAGTGTCGAAGATTAGCAGCATCACGCCCAACATCGGCATGGTTTACTCTGGCATGGGCCCCGACTATCGAGTATTGGTTGACCGCGCACGCAAAGTCTCCCACACCGGCTACAAGCGAATCTACAACGAGTACCCCCCCACCCGCATATTGGTCCAGGATGTAGCCAAGGTTATGCAGGAGGCCACCCAATCTGCGGGTGTTCGACCATACGGTGTCAGTCTATTGGTTGCTGGCTGGGATGAGGGTATTGAGCCCGATGTGGAGGGCGAGGTCCAAGATACTGAGGATTCCGGAACAAAGAAGTCCAGCAAGACTGGTGGCATTCACAAGGGAGGCCCTATGTTGTACCAGGTTGATCCATCGGGAAGCTACTATCCCTGGAAGGCTACTGCTATTGGCAAGAGCGCTACCAAGGCTAAGACTTTCCTGGAGAAGAGATACTCGGAAGAGTTGGAGCTCGAGGATGCCATTCACATCGCTCTTCTCACCCTAAAGGACAACATTGAGGGTGAGATGAACGGCGATTCGATCGAAATCGGTATGTTGTCCAACCATCATCCCCCACCTTTCTATGTGATATAATTAGTCCTAATGTTCTATCTGCAGGTATCGTGGGCGCTCCTGCCGACCATCTTCTGGGAATTGAGGGTGTTGAAGGGGCTCAGGGACCCCGGTTCAGAAAGCTGACGCCTCAGGAAATTGAGGACTACCTAACGAGTCTATGATTTGATGGATGAATGGGAACCCACTGGTAATTAGTTAGCAAACCGTCATCTTGTAAAATAGAGGGTGATAAACGACTCAATGGGCCAATTTTGACAACTCAAACTCATTGTTCTTGTGGCAAGCTCTCCCGCCTGTTTTGAGCACTCATTATGACGAAGGATGATCTTGGCCCAGCAGCCACGCCGACTGGATGATAGAGGTTAGGGAAACTAAAGTGAAGTCTCGTCCACGACGATACGCAAGCTGCGTCATCCATGCCCAAACCAAGTTGCCCATTCTTATTGTCACCTATGACCAATAATCTTGCATCACCCGTCAACACAATTGCGTGAGATGTGCCAACGGCAACATCTTCGATGTCAGCGTCACCATCCACTTCCACGTAGTTTGGGATACCACAGATGTCAGGGATGGCTCGGGACTGATTTTGGTCTCCGACAGATCCCATGCCCCAGACATATAGTCCTCCGGAGGTGGTTAATGCAGCCACCATGTACCCACCAGCTGCAACCTTCCGGACTGGCTCGCCGAGATCATTCAGTTCAGAGACGCCGCAAGGTGCGTCAGCGGGACTAGTACCCGGTCAGCATTTTCAACAACAACATCAAGGGACAATCTACCGAGTAAATTTTTGGGCACTGACTTTGCGTCATCCACCTCGCGGCCTAGACAATCCTCATACCGTGGGTCACCAAGTGTTGCAACCGAGCCATCGGCGTATAGAATGACAAATCCGACATCAAATGCGGCTACTTGCTTGACAGGCTGCCGGCATGGCCAAGACTGGACAGGGTCGTGAGCCTTACAGGCCTCTAGGGATTGGTACTTGACAAGGCTAAACCTGGAGCTTTCGGTGTGAACTTGCTTGCCATTATTGTGACTTGGCTCGGCCCTAAGGATCTCGCCTATACCGTTGACCGCCGTGGTGTATGCGAGCCCAATATCATCTGCAGCATCGGGCAATCCATGTCCGGCTACAACCAAACGGCCATCAACCCGTACTGATACGCAAAATCAGTTACTTGTTTACACAATCACTGTGATAATGTCTGTGCTCGTTGGTGATAGGTCTCTGTTACGAACCAATCGTGTATGTTAACCGGCTCACCGGGGTCTCGATGGCATTCCCTTCAATGATCTCTTTGAATGTGTAAATATCTTCGGGTTCCGCTGTATTGGGTTCTCTTCCGAGTTCCAGTTGGTTCCATGCGTTGAAGCCAGCTGCGTAAACTTTCATTGTTCCTCTTCTTGTAAGCCGGGCGGCGGTCCCGGGGCTTTACACTCTTCTCTCCTAAGGTGCCTAAATGTGGAGAAGGAGTGTCGGCGAGTTTTGATGCAAGCGATGTGGTGAATTCTCCGTCATCGGTCACCCAACAGCAACCAACAATTTTTATCGGATGTTGCCAAAAAGACAAGGCTGTTGAATGAGTGCAAAGTTAATGGGCGGCACATGTCCCTACCCTGAACCTAACCAGCTCTTGCTTTCCACTAAATCATTTAACAAGTAATGTGGCACTTTGGCTTTTTTGGGTGATGTTTATTGGATTACCTATAGAGTTATTTCCTGATTTACTCATTTCTAAGTTTCATTGTCTCATTCATGGTTGTCAAGCGCTTACAAGTGTGGTTGCCCTCAAATAATTCTTGTGTGCCTGAACTATCAGTGTGGTTTACCCCCCGCAGGTGCCGTGCATACACTAAAATCTAGCAACGCCCTCCTGCAGGTCGCATTGGTGTGTGTACCTTACGCACATGCAGCACCTCGAGCTCCCCATAAAACCATGGCTACGGGTATTGGAGCCTTCCGCGCAAGTGTTGACAAGTTCTCTTCGTCAATTGACCACTTGTCCCGGTGAAATGCACGCTTTCCTCCTTTCAATCGTGTTTCGTACCTTGCGGCCCAAGCCTTGTAGTCGGACCGGCAAATATTGAATGCTGGCAAGGCTTGCCCGCCCACAAACAAGGATTTCGACGATCGCATGCAGTCAATTTCGGTGTGTACGTGCGTACGTCAAGAAGATGGCGCCTGACTCAGACGACACGCCATCACTATCCACCTCGGGGACTGCTCAAATGGCTCTCCCAAAGTACAGTCCGAGCACCTCGGCCGGCTCAGACGAGGGCTCTTTAAATGATGATTCCTCGGACCGGAGCGTCGACAATGGAGCTCTGCTTGAGGTCAGCCCAGAGCCAGAAGGCGAAGCCGTGGAGGATACGACCGAGAATATGGATTCCAGAGCGTATCAGCTAGAAATGTTCCAGAGGAGTTTGAAGGAGAATGTTATTGTTGCTGTAAGTGTGGTCCACGACTGTATACTTTCGAGCCTTGCTAACATGATATAGATGGATACAGGAAGCGGCAAAACACAGGTGTAGGATTTACCCTCCGACGGTTTTGTACACCGAGTAGAACCTGGCTAACATCATGTTATTGGTAGGGCTTTACTAAGGATTAATGCTGAATTAGAAAGAGGGCCTCAGAAAAAGGTAACACCGAGAGAAGCAACTTGGAGGGACGTTTAAACTGACAGTGTACTAGCTCATATGGTTTCTGGCCCCTACAGTTTTGCTCTGCGGGCAGCAATGCGACATAATTCGACTCCGGTTTCCCTCTTATCCAACGAAAATGTTGACGAGCCAGGACAATGTAGACGCATGGTCTCCCAAGATCTGGAAAAGGGTCTTAAAAAGTTTCCGTGTTGTCGTATCAACTCCGCAAATCCTATACGACGCACTCTCACACTCCTATCTTGACATCAGCAGGCTTTCTCTGATTATTTTTGACGAAGGTTGGTATTTGTCCTTGTTCCAGATTTCATGCAGTCAAAATAACCGGCTAACCACTTCTTAAGCACACAATTGTTCAGGTAACAGTGCGGGTGGGAAGATTATGAAAGACTTCTACCACCCCCAGAAACAGAAAAATAAATCCATACCGTCAATTCTCGGGCTTACAGCAAGCCCTGCTGTCTCAAAAAAGACAAAAGGATTTGAACTTCTTGAGGAGACGCTGGACTCTCGATGTGTCACCCCTACAATCCATCGAGAAGAGCTTCTAAAATGGGTAAACAGGCCAAAGATTTCTCATATCGAGTATACTTTGCCCGTTGACGAAGTGTACACGTCCGCAATATCCTCTTTAATGGATGTGTATGCCCAAATGGATATCAAAGAGGACCCTCGGGTCAGGATGCTGGCTGCAGATCCCACTGACAGGAACCGTCGGTTGCTCGAAGACGCCGTAATGAAAAACAACACCAATTCCCAAACCCAGTTCAGGAGACTGTTGGCCAGGAGCTTGGAAATTGCTCTTCAGCTTGGGCCCTGGGCAGCCGACCACTACCTTTCCAGAGTCATCGAAGAGTACACAGTTAAGGCCAAGGAATCTCATGACTACTTCGACGACTGGCTCCAAGAGGAAAAGAAATACATTACGGAACTACTCAGTAAGGTCCAAGTGGCACCCCCTATTGAACAACCGCGACCAGAAGATATTTCCGTCAAGGTCAAGAAGCTCGTAAAGGAACTTCTTTCAATCGAGGAATCGCCCGTGGGCATCATTTTTGTGAAGGAAAGAGCGACCGTTTCCATTCTTTGCGACTTACTCGGAACCTACACGGATATTGCGCACAAATATCGCATAGGAACTGTGGTTGGAACCTCGAGCTACCAGAATAAAAAGCGAACCATCTACGATTTCTTCAGCGAGATTGACCTTTCAGTTCTGCAGAAGTTTCGTTCGGGGAAAATTAATCTTCTCATTGCAACAAGCGTCTTAGAAGAAGGCATCGACGTGCCAGCCTGCAATCTCGTCATCTGTTTCGACCAACTGGACACAATAAAGTCCTTTATACAACGCCGAGGACGAGCAAGGATGCGAGAATCTCGCCTGACTCTCTTTCTTGAAAAGTCGAGCAAAGTGGTGTCGAAATGGGAGGATGCAGAGGAAGAAATGAAGCGCCAATGTCAGGATGAAGAAAGACAAGTCAAGAGAGTGAAAACTATTGAATCACAAGAGGAGTCGAATAAAGGATGTTTCATTGTTAAGTCGACCAACGCACGGCTTGACTTCGACAATGCAAAGCAGCACTTGGAGCACTTTTGCCGAAACTTATCGAGAGGCGAGTTCGTTGATGCGCGGCCCGATTACATCGTGCACCGCAGCTCCGAGGAGTTGGGATGCGATCTCACCGCCACAGTTTTACTTCCACCGTTCCTTCCTGCAGAATTACGAACTGCTCATAGCAAGAACGCTTGGAAGTCTGAGAAGAACGCTACAAAAGACGCAGCTTTTGAAGCGTATCTGGCTATATACAAGGCTGGCCTTCTAAGTGAACATCTGTTGCCCTTTAGCCGAGAGCAGATTCCGGGTGTTGAGGCAAGGGCTCCGACTGCGGATGTCGAATCATCCTTCACCCCATGGAAGGAAGTTGTTCGCGCCTGGGAGGCAAATGCGGGACAGTGGGTGTATACCTTTACATGCGTTACAGACAAGGGCGACTCCCTTGGAGAATACGATATCATCCTCCCAGTCCAGCTCAGTCAAATCAGGCCGATTCAAATATATCGCGACTATAGTACAATTTGGACGATTCATTCTAGCCCCGGGAGATTCATCTCAAACGAGGAAGCGGCTCAGTTGCCGGATCATACGATAACCTTGCTGAGCCTCAACTTTGCACATCGTTGGGAGGTCAGAGATGAACCAAATGTGATCAAGACTGTAGTCAGAGAGATGGACATCAAGCTCGATCAGATTGGGTCCGAAAAACTTGAGGACCATTGGAAGGCCATCGAGGACCATGAGTTCTTGATCCGAGATCCCGGAGGCATGCCGTTTTTCTACCTTTCTACTCTTCCCTCGAAGCCACCCGGAGAGAAAGTCCAACACAGATTCAAGGGATTCGAAGAGGCCGAGACCAATGTGCCATATTTGGTTCTCGACCGTTGGACAAAGCGAGCGGATTTCCTTCACCCTTTACTGTCGGACGCCCCCGAGCCCGTTAAACCATACCCTTGGGTTCTTCCATACCCCAGCGCGAGGGTAGACTCCATCCCAGTCAAATTTGCGACATTCGGCATGCTGTTGCCCACTATAATTCATGAGATTGAAGTTCAGTTGACAACGAAACATTTAGCCGCCACGCTGCTTGAACCATTGGCTTTCTCAAACCTTGACTTGATCAGAGAGGCCATTAGTTCGAAGGCAGCCCTTGAACCCCTTCATTATGAACGCCTGGAATTTCTTGGGGATTCGATTTTAAAATACTGTGCAGCGGTTCAGGTCTCCGCACTACGTAAGTTGAAACGAATTATATCCAAGTCATGAACCAACTAACCGCCCGTCATCTAGATCCCGAATGGCCAGAAGGTTATCTTTCCGCTTTCAAAGACCGACTGGTGTCTAACTCGAGGCTGTCCAAAGCCGCACTTCAAAAAGGTCTCCCGAAATTCATTCTGACGGAGTCATTCACTGGACTAAAATGGCGCCCGTTGTATCGTTCCGACTTCCTCCAGGGCGAGGTCGCGAATCCAAGCCAAGGACGAACTCTGTCTACCAAGGTATTGGCAGATGTCGTTGAAGCACTGATGGGTGCATCGTACCATGACGGCGGCATCGACAAGGCCTGCCAGTGCATATGCCTTTTCATCGACGAGAAGTGGCCTTCCGTTGATGTTGCGCGCAGATCGCTGTATGAAAGTCAGCCCAACATAGTGAGAGAAATACCAGCCTTCGCCACGTTGGAGGAGATACTGAGCTACTCTTTCCAAAAGAAATCGTTACTGGTCGAGGCAATGACCCATGCCTCCTACGTCATAGCTAATGGCTCGAGATCTTTGGAGAGACTTGAATTCCTCGGGGATGCTATTCTTGACAAGATCGTCGTCACGAAGCTGTTTGCGCTGGATCCTCCTCTGCCCCATGACCGAATGCACACACTGAAAACGACACTCGTCAACGGAGACTTCCTCGCTTTTATCGCCATGGAGAACGGTATCCGCCAGGAAGAGACGGTGGTTACTGAGGATCTGGAGGTTGTCCCTGAGAAGGGAATCATACCCCTCTGGAATTTCATGAGGCACTCATCAACAACTATCGGACTGGAGCAGGCGGCAGTGGCCCAAAGGCACCAGAACTCCAGAGAGGAGATTATCCAGCTTTTCAAAACTGCAGATCGCTATCCCTGGGCCGAGCTTGCTCGGATCCAACCCCGAAAGTTCTTTTCTGACATTATTGAGGCTTTGATTGGTGCCGTCTGGGTTGATTCCGGGTCTATCGAGGTCTGTGCCGCGGTCGTGGAGCGGCTGGGCATCTTCACCTATCTTGAACGCTTCGTGAGAGACAACGTTGAGGTTATGCACCCCAAAGAGTTGATTGGCAAGCTTGCTGGAACAGAAAAGGTCAAATATGAGGCTTCGTTTGAGGAAAACAAGGACGGCGATAATGTGTATTCGTGCAAGCTGTATGTTGGCGGGCGGCTTGTGGCGGAAGTTGATGGGTCGGTGAGCAGGGAGCACAGTAAGACTGCCGCTGCTACGGAGGCTGTCAAGGCCTGGCCTCGTGACGAGGATACGATTATGACTGAAGCCGGGGCGATAGCGTAGTCTGGGAAGCAGACCATCTTTAAAAGGTTTATGTTGAGCTGTGGTTGGGAAAACGAGTGTAGGGTCTGCAGCTGAGAGCTGGCATTTCGGTCTATCTGCGATATTCTACCTGGAAGATAAGTGAACGATTTATGAATAAATGATCCGCGCTGCTAGATTAATTTCTCGAGCTCCTTCAGAATCGTATCGACCGCCCACTCTAACGTCTTCCCCATGTCTCCATCCACTCCAGCCTCGGTAGGTACCTTGATGCCCTCCTTGGAGATAATATCTAGGCGGTAGTTACCTTCGACATTACCATCCTCGAACATCCAACCATGTTCTTCAACGTAGTTGGGCCACACGATGTCATCGACGTAACCGGGAGGATCAGCCCAGAAGCCCTCGATGGTCACATAGCCATCCCGAGCTTCTCGACGGGCCTTGGCCTTGGCGTATTCAGTGCGCAGGAAGAGCTTCACGTCAAGATAGGGCTTGATGGGTGCCATGGAAGGGGGATAAAGAAGAAACCCATCTAAGAGACAAAGCTGGAGTGTCTTGGTGTTGAGGGGATGGGTTGAGGGGAGGAGGGATGCGACTCTAGACTTGAGCTCAGCAATCTGAGAGTCGGGGACAGGGCATTTCCCCACGGAGTTTTGGTCTTCCTTGGAATCTAGAGTAGGCTGGAATTGGAAGTGGCGTAAGTGAGAGAGACTTCCGGAAAGAGAAAAAACGAGAAGCATAATTGGAATGTTTCATACGGGAAAAGCTGCGTTTTGTCGAATATAGGCTAGGGATTCTGCCATGGCTGGGATGTCTATCGCCCCCGCGCAGTCCCAATCTAAGAGGCCATTCTTGGAAGGGAGCCTGTCGAGTATCAATTATTAGTTGAACGATTATCAGGATAGTTCTGGATAATCTTTTATCGTACTCATTCTCAGGACGGTAGAAATCATCCTCGTGTAAGATGAAAGTACCGGGCAATATGTCACGGAGAAGTCGTGCGAGGGTTGTCTTGCCGCTGGAAGAGCACCCTGAGAGGCTGACAATGAGAGCCTTGGGTTCGGCCATGACGAGAATATCCACCGACTGTAAAGTCGGAATGATTTGAAATTAAAAAGAGGAAAAAAGAGGCTTCTTCTCATCAAAGAATCAACACACTCCAGAGTTCAAGGCCTATCGGTTCATAAGCGGTCCCTTTCTAGATGCCCCTCCTCCACTAACGTGCCCTGAGCCCCTCCATAAGTCCGCTGAGCTCTGACGCAAGCGCGGCATCTAACTGCCTAGAGCGCCAACGTCGATCTAATTTTTATGATGAATCAGCAGCTTCAACAACCTCAGACTTAGCTAGCTTGTGCACACATAGATCAAGAGCTTGACTGTACCTTTCAGCTTGAACATCTTTTGCACTCTCTCTGTTCTAGCCAGTACCTCCAATCCAACTCTTGGACACCTCTCCTCGTCTTCTCCGCCGCCCACACACCGCCGCCATGTCTTCCGACGACGGCAAGCAGTTCGCCATCGTCCTCACAACGTCCCTGGTGACGTTCGCCACGGGCTTCCTCTTCGGCGTCTGGACCATCCAGGGCTACCTCATCCCTCCCAGCTTCGCCGCCGAGCGCCGCGCCTACCACAACGACCCCGTCGAGAGCGAGGAGAGCGACGTCGACGAGGCCGACACCATCCTCGACCACGCACCCAACTGGGCCAATGGCCTCAATGCAGACCGCAGGCAGGGCCTGAGCACCACCGGCCCCTCCGGGGAGAAATCGATATACGACTCCAAGGAGGAGTGCAAGCTCGTCCTGGTCGTGCGGACAGATCTCGGGATGACAAAAGGTAAGACCCCCCCAAATGGTTTATCCCAAAAAACCACTTCTCGTGGCTGACATACCATCCTTTCTCTAGGAAAAATCGCCGCGCAGTGCTCCCACGCCACCCTCGCCTGCTACAAGAACCTCGTCGGCGCCCCCGCCGACTCCCCCAAGCGCAAGGCCCTCGCCCGCTGGGAGCGGTACGGCCAGACCAAGATCGCCGTGCAGATCAAGTCGCAGGACGACCTCCTCGAGCTGCGTCGCACGGCGCGGAACATGGGCGTCACCGCCGAGGTGATCCAGGACGCGGGGCGGACGCAGATCGAGGCTGGGAGCATGACCGTGCTGGGTGTCGGGCCGGCGCCCAGGAGCGTTGTCGACAAGATTACGGGGCATCTTAAGCTGCTATAGATACACTAGGGGAAAGAGAGTTGCATGATGGCATTTAAAAGTTGTGTTTTCTTGAACGCAGCATTGATCTGAGAACGGGTTAGACAGGCACGGCGCAAATAAACGGGATACAAGGGCTTCATATACAAAAAGCAGAAATATAAAATACAGTACATTTTTTTCTGGGTAAGAAGGGAAAAAAACCAACGCCGTGATAATGAGGATTGGCTCTATGGGTATTCTCATTAATGCTTGATCACTTGCTACTATTCTCTTTTGGCAAATCTCGACAACGCCGGTCCTAGATCCTCCTCCTGCTCCTCTCGCTTCTTGTTGTTCATCTTTTGCCGCTCCTTCCAGATCTCGTCGATCTTGAGCCTCTTCTCGTCGATGATGTTCTTCCTCCTCTGCTTTCTTAGGTACTTCTTCAGCGCGCCGTTCTTGCCTCTTGCCCGGTTTCGGATTTCTTCCTCGATATCCGGCGCCGCCGCATCCAAGTCCTTCTCTGCTCTCCTCTCCTTGTCGGACCTCAAATCCAGATTTCCGATGAAGTTGGGGTCTAGAGCAATCATCTCGGGCTGGAGCTTGTTCAGTAGTCCCTTCACTTCGGCTTCCTGCCTCTGCTTGGTGTTCTCGAATGGGTTGATTTCCAGAGCATCGAAGTTGGCCTCTCCGGCACCAGGAACGATGATCGAAGAGAAGCCGTTTTCATGACCAATGCCTAGGACATCTTCGAATGGGCACCATCTCACGCGCTCCATGCGGTTTCCTTCACCGCCCCAGGACATGTAGGGGCTCTGCACCTTCTGCTGGACCGGGGCGTTCTTGTCGAACAGACCCTTCCATATAGATGTTTGAGTGCCCCACCCAACGGCTGTTAACCCGGAATCTGAAATGGCTACGGATGTAGCCGGTTGGCGTGTGAAGTAGCTGTTGACCTCCTTGAACATCCGGATATCCCAGACGGCCATCTTCATATCTTGTCCTGTAGAAACCATGTATCGTCCTTCTCTGTCCATCGCTAACGACCTAACGGGGCCCCGGTGAGCTAGCAGCTTCACGAGGGGCTCTTGAGAGTTTGGCGACCAAAGGGTGACGGCTCCGTTCTGGTGACCAACGTGGAGAATGGCGTTGTATGGATTCTGTCCAAGGGAGACGGGCTGACCAAGCTTTGTAGGCATTTCAGCTACAAGCTGACCTGTTGATACATCTTGGTATTTGAGAACTCCGGTGGTACCCTAAAAATGTTAGTTGGAGTTGACCTCCTGTCGTGAAAGCGGCAAGAAACTTACAATGGTACCCAATAGGAAGTGGTAGGGTAGGAATTCCATGTGTGTAACTTCCTGGTGTCTCTTCAAGCAATGCAGCTCAACACCATTGCGATCATAGATATACACGTTCTTCTTCTGAGAAGCCGCAAAGTACTGGTTGTTGTGTAGCCACTTGACGTCTCGAACTGTCTCCCCGAGTTGTACCTCACAGGTCAACTTTCCTTCTCTCCAATCCATAGCGGCAACATGGCCTTTGCGACCCCCCAACAACAACTCTCGCCCATTCCTCGAGTAATCGAAGACGTAGGGGCCCAGCGCATCTAGCTTCAGCTCGAATCGCTTCTTCGCGGTCTCTAGGGCGATGTCGTTTACGATTTCATCTTGGCGGACCTTGTATGTGCGCTCGAGCTCGTGCTCGGGTTCGAGGAATCCTCCGGTGTTCTCAAGCAGGATTTCGGCATCCTTGGCTTTGAGGATAGCGTTCTCGTTCTTGGAATTGAGTGTCTTCAGGTTCCGCCGCAGTTTCTTGTCTTTGATATCTTTGGTGTTGACCCTCCTCCCACGCCCATAGGACTTATTCGCTTCTCTCAGACGACGGACTCTCTCACGCTCCTGCTTGTTCGAGGCGAGGTCGGTGCGAGACGCGACCACGACGGCGCCATTGTTCGTAGCGTTGTCGTTGTTGAAAATGCGAGAAATGCCCGAGGGCTTTTCTAATGTCTTGACATCCATAATTCCTTTCATGAGCCTCCAATCCAGGTCTTGCGCTCTGCGCAATGGTGGAATGCGCCTTGGTGAAGTCGGTCTGGTCGTTTGAGAACTTGATCTGCGTCCAGCCTGCCGACAAAATTTCCAAGCCATGCAAATGACGGTCTTATCGAGCGACGCTGAGTGGCTGTTGAAAGAATCCACTTTCGTTATCGATAGCGCTCGCACACAAAAATTTGTAGATAACCATAACCCCACCATCTGTACCGCTCTGGCTATCACCCACCAGGCCACCCTCTTTCGCCAGCGTTTGTCGAAAGAGAGATTTTTGGTTCAAAAATACAGATCTAGGGAAAGACTACGTCGCCTCTACTTCTGTTTGATCCTGGAACAAAACTGGCTTCTCTACCTTTCCGCTTCAAAGCTGGAGGCGAAGGCAAAATGCCCGCCGTCGTAGCTCACTCGCATAGGCCCACGACCAAGGTCACCCATAAGCCTTTCAAGTCCAAGGCGGCTTCCAAGCATGAGCTGCGCGACCGTGCTAAAGGTAGGCTGGCGAAGGTTCCTTTTAAAATGATCAATGAAAGAAAAAAAATCTAATTGAATATGTGCAAATTAGGTCGAGTCCCCAACGAGCGTGGTCTGCGAAAAACCCCCCACCAACAAGTCATGTCCAAACTCGATCGCCGCAACCAGGCCAAGCAGGCCCGCCTCACCAAGCACAAGGACCATTTGAAGGAAACCCAGATCTTCACAGGACGCGACGGCGCGCCCAGGATTGTGGCCGTTCTGCCTCTCTGCTCCAACAGTGACGCAAAGGCTGTTGCCAAGCAATTGA